ATTTAAATTAAAAGTACTTGTTAGGTGTAGCGTATTCCCTAATGCAACACACACCACGTGGTGGTTCTCACTGGAGGAGGCGGGGTCTAATGTTATCTGCACAATGATTGGATCAGTTGACAGATTTTCCTGTAATTATTGATTATTTTTAGGAACGTGTGAGTAACGCAGTGCTTTGTAAAAATGTATTTGAGCAGAAAAATTTGTGGTTAGTGGGGTAAAAGTTAAAAGTAGCTGAAAATAATGTCTCAAAATACAGATACATGAAAAATGTACTAATACACTAACAAAGTAAATGTACTTTGTTACATTCCGACACTGGCCAGAGACACAAAAAAGTTTGCACCATGAAATTGAAACAGGGAGGAAAATGATCCAATCACCCTGTTAACAAGACCTTGAGCCACAAACTTTAAGTTTACACATTTCCTGTGTGCACTCCAAAGCAGAGTTCGTATCCATCAAGAAGAAACACGAAGCAACAGAATTATTGAAAGTGTGTTTTGTACTTTTTGTTTACAGAGTATGTTGTTGTTCTCATAAACTGAAAGGACAGTGGAGGCTGATTAATGAACTGTGCTGCAGAGAATCCTGGTTAGTTATTGAAATTTATTTTCATTTCCTCTGATGCAGCTCCAGACTATAGACATGTCCTCACACAGAAACTTATCGAAGGCCAAAACTCCACTGAAAAGAATGTATGTGAGGTTGTAGATTGAATATATTGACCAAACGTTTCCTGACGTTGACATTGTGAAGACATTAATAACGCCTTCAATGATTCAAACATTATTCCACTAGTGCTTCACTGAGCTGTGGAAACAGTATGCAACATGTTTTACTGATTTATATCACACACCGCTCGACTCCTGTTGCAGTGTACGTTACGACTTGAGTTGTGTTTTTTGTATGGAGGGTACTAGTGAAACTCTGTGGTTGGTGCAACTCAACCTTGCACCTGCTCTAATAAATCTCTTGGTGATTTCAGGCTTTCCCCTGTTTATTTGGAAATATACTTTTACTGACAAATGTGACATTGACATTATTTCAGCAGTGACATAAATATACAGATCTCACAGTTCATGTTAAAACAAGTAGAAAACACTTTGTACATTGTACTCAAAACTAGGTAGATCTTATTTCTAAATGCAGACGTGCACACACATGCATGCACACAAATACTCACACACACACACAAAATCACTATATGCATTACAAATCACTTTCACAGGCACAAAGCTCAGTCCAATGAGTGACTAAATAACTTAAATCTTCATAAAACATTGGTTCTACCACATTCTTTTTCTGAAAAACAAAAAACAAATTAGGCCAAGAAATCAGATTCAAAAATTCAATCCTATCAAACGGTTTCCTTACTTACTGATAGAGCTGTTGACCTTTGTCACATAAAACTGGTACAAGGGACACGCACCAGAATTTTGGGATCCTATTCCCATAATTCATAAATGCTTAATTTTAATTATGGTAATAAGAGGATGGTCCTTCACTTGTAAATGTGCATATTTCAAGCAGTCTTTATGTCCAGTGAAATGGATAGGGAGTAGGACAAAGTCAAAACCTTCAGTGAATCCTGAAGCTTGACACCAACAAAAAATTAAAAAAATAAAAGCCACAAACACAACTGACCTCAAGCGAACAACTTTTTCTGAAGGCTCATGGATAGAAAATGTACATTAACACATGTAGGGAGAGGCAATTCAAGTGTTTGTGTGCACTGACACTGGCACTAGTGTGACTTGTGTGACTTGTGCCAGTGTCACTGTGATTCAGTGGAACTGCTGCATTTGGAGCCTGAAGAGATCAGAGGTGTGACCACCAGTCCCTGACTCAGGTCCAGACCTCGGCCCTCCTTCCCCTACAAACACACAGAGATGGTATCAGTGAAAAGCACATACACACACACACACTTCGAAATGTTGTCCAAACCCGGCTCGCTGGGTACTGATGGGTCACAATGGGGTTGGGGTCTGGTATTCACACTCGGATATAAAGGTGGTTGGCTTCTTTTTAAATGACACAAAGCCTTGTAAGAGCCAGTTAAGCACATATTTGTTTGGCTGTTATATGCTGTGTTATCAATAAAGTTAATAAAAATCAACAATTATTGAACTATGCTTAAGTTTATGTTTAAATTAGCTATATTTCTTTAAGTGTTAGAATAAAGTTAATATATTTTTATTTACTAAATTTATGACTTTGCCATTAGATCATTTATTTCACATGTGGTGTGTTTAGGAACCATGTGGTGTGTTTAGGAACAATGTGGTGCGCTTAAGTTGATCAAAACAAACTTTTGACAGTCATACAACGTCATACAGTGCAACGTAGTTTAAATGGTAACGTGGTTCAAATGCTCTCGTCTTTGCCTCTTGGATTTTTTTGTTAAATGAGTCAAACTGTGCGCAGCGAGAGCTCCAGGATGGAAAATAGCATCAACCGCCAATACTGCCACTAAATGAGAATGAAGAAATCTATTTTAAATCATATCTAAAAACATGTTGTTTCTTTACATAACATTTTGTTGTGAATCTAAGCAAAGTACAGTTGAAAGATTATCCGAGCGTATAGACAACTCACAGCTCTGTATTCCAGAAACATCTCCTTAAACGCCATGAAATCTGTGAACGTCAGCAGCATGTCAAAGATGTCTCCTGCCACCTCGTCTTTGTGCTGCCTGCAGAGGGAAGAGAGTGGCGCTGTGAATGTACTGGTGCGTGCGTCACCTAGTGGCCAGCTGCGAAATAATGTTTCGTAGGAGCAACAGGTGCATCAAGCAAAGAGTAGCTGCGGAGTTTCAGTGAGAGGAAGAGTTGTGATCTTACATGAGCAGATCTATGAAAGTGTTCATGTTGAACTCTGGGATTCTCTCCGTCAGCTGCTGCTCCAAGTGTTTCTCCAGTCGATCAACCTACACAACACACACAAGTTAATGTGAATTTAGTTTATCCACCAGAGTATTAAAGGAATTCAATGAAAAGTTTAAATCAATGAGCTGTAAAATCTAAAGAACATATGTGCTGATACATTGTGTCAGACTTATAAAAGGCTGTATACATCAGATAGCTGTATGTCATATTCTCTGAAGAGACATTAGACCATCAACCACTCACATATTCTTTGAAGATGTGTGTGTAGCTGAGTTTGTTCTCATCAGAGTTGTCGAATTCCAGGTAGTTCTCCTCCATGAAACTCTGCTGAAGCTGCTGAAACTCCTCATCTAAAAGAACAGTGAATCATATATATGTCTACATCTTCAGCTGCCTTAGTGGCCTTTTTTTTTAAATCTCAGTTTCAATTTTTTTCTAAGAACAAAGACTGTTAAGATGTGTTTTACAAAATAAGACATCTCTAGTCCTACCCATGATGATGTCCTCTATGCAGCCAATGACAGCATCGAAAGCAGCATCCGGAGCAGAGGAACTGGAAGGAGAAAATCAAGAGACAAAGATTGAATCACCACTATGTTGGTGAATTATTTTGTAAACTAGTTTTTTTTAAGTGCTATATAAATAAAGTTGTATTATTATTATTATCTGTCCTAAAGGTAACTGTGCTTTTCCATCAGAGCCTCTAGACTGTGGAGCACCTTGTTCATGCATTATCAAACGCTCCTTCAAACTCATTTGTACAAAGCTGCTTTTAATTCTTGATTCAGATACTTTTATTTGGCTTTATTTCTTTTATGGGGGTTATAATGATTCATATCACGTTTGTCAGTTTGTTGTATTCATTCTATCTGCATTAAGAATTGTTGTGTTTACTCAATGTCAAACTTTGAAGTAAATAAATTCATTGAAACATAATTGAGATTTAAAAAAAACTCACATACGCATGTACTCTTTTCAAACTGGAAACCGACAGAGTCATGAAAATCCCAAATTGTTAGAGCATATCCTGAATTGTGAGCTCATGAAGACTTGTAACTTGGACTTGCAGGATCTCCAATTGATCTGGGACTTTAAGATTTAAAACTAATTTAAACAACCAACCTGGAAATAGCAAAGTTTTCTTCATCCGTGTCAACCATCTCTACGATGTTTTCTACACAGCTGCGAACATCTGGAAAACGAGGGGGAGGCGACAGCTAAATATGATGAACAGCTAAATAAATATGATGAACAGCTAAATAAATATGATGAACAGCTAAATATGATGAACAACTAAATAAATATAATGAACAGCTAAATGTGATGAACAACTAAATAAATATGATGAACAGCTAAATGCGATGAACAGCTAAATGTGATGAACAGCTAAATAAATATGAT